AGAACAACCCACAAACCAAATTTAGAATTTCTAAGTAAACTATTTGTCAATTTATTGTGCTGACAATATTTCTATGTTTTAGCAATAGTGACCTTGACCTCTGACCTGTAGGCGCAAAAGCAATAGGCTTCTTAAGACTACCACGAACAACCCACAAACCAAATTTCAGGTAAAGTATTTCTGAAGTTGTCATGTTGACAAGAAATCAAATAAGGTTTTGATTTTTGGATAACCCAACCAAAACTTAACTCACACACACAGACTAGTACATTTGGTTTATGGTGACAATCAAGGATTTTCTATTGTTTCTCTTCCCTTTTCCTTTGTTTATACTCTAACTTTTTGGCAACAGATCTCATTGGTTTTGTACACGTTTTCCAACCGAGAAGTGCTCGATTCAGTTCCTGTGCTCAATTCATCAATGATCATCAATTTCATCGTGTCCTCTATCAGGATTCATTTTTAGCAGTACAGCCAGCTAGCCAAATTCAAGTCAAAACAGCGGCGGGCTATTCAATTTTCTTAAGTGCCAAACTGCATGGACATCAGCCAGCTTGGCTACCTTGTGAAGTGGAGGCTCTATCCAATGCTGCTGCTACTAAGCATTTCAGTCCATACATCATTCAGTCTACGCAAAAATCATCCTCACAGACAGCAAGCCCTGTGTTCAAGCCCCCATGTGACTACATTATATTCGATTGTCAACCGCCAGAGGTGGCAGCAAGTCATTTTTTGCAAGTCCAAGTCAAGTCACAAGTCATTGTTTGCAAGTCCAAGTCAAGTCACAAGTCATTAGGTCCAGTCACAAGTCAAGTCACAAGTCATTAGGTCCAGTCACAAGTCAAGTCACAAGTCATTTGGCATGTTTGGTCTAAACACAAGTCAAGTCACAAGTATCTTTGTCCAAGAACACGTCAAGTTGCACATTATTTTGTTCAGCTTTAAAAAGAACCTGGCGTTAACTTACGACTTATTTTGAACATGCCTCCTTAATTCCCCTTTTTCAATGTGTTGCAATTACTATTATTGTAGTTTATCACATATCTGTCGGATATTAGCCCTTTGTATACTTTAATAAATGTACTTTACATTGTAGAAATGAATGTTGAGATGACATGAAAAAAAGACTTCACTCACTCGATCACATGTAGTATACTAACACTTTATTGTTCAATTTTCATGTATACTAAACGCCTACCAATGGTTAAGCTATCCGGTATTTTACATGCAATTGACAAAGGCATGCTTTCTTTTCATGAAAGGTTCCTTTCAAAGTTTGTTCAACCATTACATTAAGCAAGAGACTTGGTCATTGAAAACTGTAATTTGTTGTGACAGTCTTATTGAAAACTTTTGAAACTAGTGGGAACTATTCATTTGACTGGATTCAGTCACTGAGGTCTATTTTCTGGAATGAAACTTTCTCGCTGCAACTATAAACTGCATTTATAAACACCTTGAGTGGCCTTTTGGGCCTTGTGATGGGCGACTTCAATTTAAAAAAAATCGAGTAGCGTCTGACTTGGGTTGGTAACAAGTCATTTTGTACAAGTCCAAGTCAAGTCACAAGTCATTGTTTGCAAGTCCAAGTCAAGTCACAAGTCAAAGCTGGTATTTACAAGTCAAGTCACAAGTCACAAAAATAGCGACTCGAGTCCGACTCGAGTCCAAGTCACATGACTCGAGTCAGCAACTCTGTCAACCGCTCTCAAGCTACAGTCCGCCATTTGGCAGGTTCAGCAAATATACTATCAGGCTTTGCCAGTCAAATGCCCCAGATTGCAGTGACTCATCTTGCCAGATCTGCTCGTTTGTGAAGCATACAGAGGACTCAGTCATCCTATCTCTACACAGGACATTGTCACTGGCAAGGCAAAACTACCATTCACCAGCCAATTGGCCTGGCCAAACTTGCCGATCCAGAGTGCTCAGATTTGCGCCGTACGTATGCTCATCTTCTGCAAGGCACTTGACCCTCCAAAAAGGTCACCAATTCCAAAGACATCAAACGATACCTCAATGTTGCCACCATCCAGGCGCGGTTCTTAGGGGGGGCTAGGGGGGGCTGTAGCCCCCCCAAAATTTTGTCTAGCCCCCCCAAAAATAAATGCCGTAAAAAAAAAAAATATTGCATTAACAAAAAGGAGGATTGTGATGTACATGCGAACGGTCTCCCCCTAAAGAAGAAATAGCCGTGACAAGGGTGCATTAGTTAATATAGTGCAAGGGCGGATCCAGGAGGGGGGGGGGGGCCAAAGGGGGCCATGGCCCCCAAAACGAAACCATTTTTTGTTTATGTGACATCGCAATAAAGGCAGGCAATGAGTACACCACCATCTTTTCCTCAAAAACAATTTGTTAAAGTTGTCAGAAATTGCCTCAGATCGCACCACAGAGCATCTAGAATCCAAAAATTGTTCGGGGCCCTTAAGCGGGCCCCGAACCCCACACCGTAATGTTTTGGACCCACTTTTTTGAGGGACCAAATTTTTTTTGGCCCCCCCCCCCCAAAAAAACAAATTGTGTTCTGGATTCGCCCTTGCTATAGTGTGAATGATTTTAGGATTTTATTGGCGCTCCCCATTGAAAATATGGCATGAGCTCCGCCCCCCCTATTGATTTTCGGAGGCCTAAGTGTCTGGAAAAAATAACCGGTCAACATTTCAGCACGCCTCCCTGAAAAAAATTCTGGATCCACCGTGCTAGTCCCCCCAAAATATTGGTTCTAGAACCGCGCCTGCCACCATCACCAAAGATGGACTCCTGATCGTTCGCCAGAGATGAACCACTTGCTCCCACACGGGTGTGCATCATAATTCCTACAACAAGTTTTGGATGGCCTCCTCTCTGCCTTGCACATCCAGCTAACCCATCCATCATGCCACCAACTTTAAGTATGTCGTCTATCGCTAATTCTATGCCCTCGACATTAAAAAGGCCATTGAGAAAATCTCATCAAGTTGTCACCAATGCGCTGCTCTGTGCAATGCCCCCACTACTGTGAAGCCTAAAACCACCACAGATTCACCTGATGCAGTCGGCGTATCATTTGCCGCCAAAATTATAATAGACAATCAAAACTGGGAACAGCTCTGTAGTTGTTCACAACCACAATCTCTAGGTTTTTTTTCACAGAACCAGCTATTGTTTTTGTTATTGTTTTCCCCCTTCTTTTTTCACATCATTTTCCATAAGATAACACATGTTTTCGTTCCGATTACCACTTTAGGACTTTTTTCAAATCATAATCGACTTCAAACCTGGCAAAAGACAACCATCTGAAGATTCAGCCCGAAACATGGCGTTGTGATTACATCATCACTTGTCACGTAACATCATCCTGAAATGCATACTTTAAGGCCCTATATCTTCAGAACCGAAGTCTGTTTGGGTTCAAGCTCGGTATACATGTATTCCGGAGCGTGTTGTAGACAACAAAATTGCAGTGACGTCACAATGACCTCATTATGTAATTTTATATGAATTATTCAATTTTTGGACCTTTCTCAAAAATGGAACTTGCTAAATTAAACATTCTTTTGGTAATAGGGTTGCTCGGTCTTAGATAGATATGTCTGATTGTTATGACACTTGGTAGGTAGGTATTGAAAATAGTATTCAAAATCTCAAGTGATGTCATCATCAGATTTTTTATTAATTTTAAAAATTGTAATATTTTCTTTTAATTACAACAAAAATACATAAAATACAATCAGACTGACTTCAAAGTAGGCACAGACCAAGACCCTAAGCTTGTATTGTTTCTAAACAAGTGACGTCGTGATGACGTCATGAGTAGTCATATGACGTCATCTACATTTTGCTAATTTATAACAATCACGTATGTGTCACGTGACGTCATCCTAAAAGTGCATATTTTAAGGCCTGCAAGTCCGATTGGGTATTCCGGGCCGTGTTGTAGGCAAAAATTGCAGTGACGTCATGATGATGTCATCATGTGATTTTATATGTATTATTCATTTTTTGGACCTTTAAGTCAAATCTCACCAATGGAACGTGGTCAATTTGAAAATCTTTTTGTAATAGGTTTGTTAGGTCATAGGTAGATGCACAGAATTTCGTAAAATGTGTGACGTCATAATGACGTCATCAAAAACATGATTTTTTTATTCACATATATGGGCACGTCCGATTGTTATGAAACTTGGTGGGTAGGTAGGTATTGATAAAAGCATTCAAAATCTAAAATGATGTCGTCATGACGTCATCATCTGATGTTCTATTAAATTTCAAAAGTTTAATATTTTCTTCTAATTACCAAAAATTACATAAAATATGATCCGACTGACTTCAAACCTGGCACACACTTTGGCTGATTGTTCACAATTGTTACGTGTGGTTGATTTACAAATAGGTATTTTTAGTCAAAGTCCAATAAATGGACAATGCCATGTTTGGTTGGTTTTCTCTTGTATGCTTGACAACAACTGATGACTGGTCTTTCATAATAGATACCACGTAGAATTTTTGAAATGCACACTTGACAAAAATCAACATTTTAAAATTGGTGATTTGAGTTCCCAGCGCAGTTGGCAAATGGAGGCAAGTTCATATTTAAGCATTTCTGTCCCTAGTGGATTGATAGTATGATCCAATTTTGTTGGTAGATAACAACCAAGACACACAGCATTCTTACCATGCATAATAAGAAAAGTTATGCATTTCAGTTTTGCTTGAAATTGTAAAAAAAGGAGAGTGGAGCATTTTTTTGGGGGGGGGGGACACCCTGTAGTATCATTTTTTTTACGGTCCAATAGACAATCAAAAACATTTTGGGAACAGCTCTGTGGTTGTTCACAACCACAATCTTATTATTATTTTTGTGATGTCATATAAATTTTCATTTGTCTACATGTATGTACCCACAAAGTTTTTACCAATTGGCCAAATAGTTCTACAGTTATAGGAGTGTAAACAAAATATGTAAAATGATGTAGTTAATGATATACTAGTTAAATAAATGAAAGTGCTCATCTGACCTTCTCCTGTAGTGTTCAATCTTCCCAAGCACATTTTTTTCCTTGTCGTTCTCAACGTTCTCTGTTGATCATCTTTATGCATTAGGGACTCTATTGTGTCTTTGCCGTCAGCTATGTTCACAATTTCCCCGGCAGAGAGGCATGAGACTGGCAGTTTGGGGACTTGCTGATTCTCCGTACTCTTGAAATCTAATGAGAACAAGGAACTGGTAAAGGATCAGAGTCTGATACACGTTCTAAACTTACAACATTCTACATTGAGCCCATTCAATGAGCCATATTTCTGAGTGAATAAGGGCGCTTCAACAGCATCAAATCTTGGTACAAACAGCGGAAAATCCTGTTCGTTGGAGAAGTTAAGTCCCTTTACTCAACAAAAAAAAAAACATTTGAAATTTTTGAATTGTCGCCACATATAAACATACAATACCCTTAGATATAGGTATCCATTCTTAAAATGGCATCAAATAGCACCCTCATTCATTCAAAGTATGGGACATGTATGACCCAGCTATGACAAATGTGTACAAATATTTACCTAAGTTTGATAGGAATACGACTTTGTTTTAAGGTCAAAGTGATGGGCTGAATAAAAATGTACAAATTTTATGGGATATGGGGAGAACAAAAAGAAGGAAAATAAAAAGAACTTTCACAAAACCAAAGGCTTTTCCACTTTTAAGCGGCAAGGCCAAAAAACACACTTCATCTGACATGCTGCTAGAGGCCATTTCAGGTTATGATGTCATCATGCCACTGTTGTGTTATTGGCATCACCTATTAAATACTTGCTTAATCCTATATTAAAAGATCATACGTGAGTGTGAACCACAACTTGCGCATATACAAATTTTCGACAGTTTTTGGTATAATAAAGAGTATGGCTGGATTGCTAAGGAATTTCTGTACTGATTAGTCGTTATTTGAGCGAGAGGTGCTCAGTAGTTTTTGAGGGGGCGCTCTTCAAATCCGACACACATGCACACATGGACAATATATGGCATGTTTCAGGGCGATACATTTGCAATATAAAAAAAATTACTGCAAGTGAAACTTGCACAATCCCCCTGGCATGAAGTTTTTATTCAGTCAGTTAGTACAGATTATCTGTACTAACTGACTGTATAAAAACTGCATAGATACTTGTAAGTGTACCTAATCAAAATGGAAGATTTCGATTGTTTTAGCAATTGTAGCTTTTTAAGCCTACCAAGAACAACCCACAAACCAAATTTCAAGTTCCTAAAGTAAAAGTATTTCTCAAGTTATTGTGCTGACAGGAGTTAACCTAACCAAACATATCGCACACACAGATTAGCACATTTGTTTGTGGTGTAAATCAAGCATTTTCTATTGTTCTTCTTCCCTTTTCCTTTGTTTATACTCTCTTTTGTTTGTCCATGTTTTCCAACTGAGGAGTTCTTGTCCTCAATTCATCAATGATGTTGCACGTGTGTGTCCTCGATTTACACCATAAACAAACACAAACACACATGATTACTGGATTTTATATTCTTGTGGAGTCATTTCTTTGGGTGTGCGTGTTTGTGGTGTAAATCAAGGACACATGCAACATCATCGATCAATCGAGGACAGAAACTGAATCAAGGACTCTTTGGTTGGAAATCGTGTACAAAACCAAAGAGCGTTGTCTGTGCAATTTGGATGAAATTGGGCCTCTAAAAGCGTTCTATTTTGCAATGGAGTGTAGGCATCGTTTTTCAAGATGGCGATGGGCTTCAGGACTATTTTAAGGGGTGATCATCTTCGGATAGAAATTTCTCCTAAAAGTCATCAGTCAACCCCCCCCCCCAAATTGAATAGAATATGAAAGATGATGAAATAAGCTTTAATTTGATGTGTGTCTCCAACACCTTGGAGAGTTGTGAGTATGTTTCCTGAATTTCTGAAATAGGGGCATTTATCATTGGTGTCTATGGCAGTTTATTTACTGGTCTGTAACCCTAGGGATTCGCGCGGCATATCTCGCTACATATGCGCATTGTGGTTTCCAACGATTTTCAAGGTGCTATATCCTGATATTTATAAGCCAAATTTGAATAATGACAAATTTGCCGGAGATATTTGTCTTCGATAGCGCCACTAGGCCTATTATAAGAGATTCGAAAACTTCATAAAACACTGCCTATGTCTGCAACTGATGTTTAAGGCCAAAAAAAAAAAGTCTCCGGTTTCTGGTATGCGCGCGTGTCGCCGTAGCCATGCACGTCGGCAAAATGAAAAAGGTTTTTTTTCAATGAAAAATGATGTCTCAAAACCGCCAAACTCACTGGTTTGACTGGAATCCTGCTGCTGCACAATTTTAACGTGTTTTTAGATGGGGTTATGATCGAGAATAAGCTTTATGTGGCCTCTCTGGACTCCCATATATTTTCACTAAGTTTAGTCGGGCACCATTTGCAGTCATCAGCTGACATTTGAAGCAAAAAAGTCAGATAAAAAAAAAAAAAAGCCGCGTCGCCGCACCACTTTTTGGACAAGCTCCATACCAGAAACCGGAGACTTTTTTTTTGGCCTAAAGGGAATATACAACATTTTTCTTTTGCTGTAATTTTCAGAAATGGATGGACTTTGGGGGTTAGTGTTTTATAGCAAATATTGTTACACTGACCTGTTTAAAGTTTTCTGTTTCTGGAAAAAAAATGATGTTCTTGTAGTCTGGTTCCCTAGCCCCACTAATTCAGATGAAACGGAGCAATTTATAGACATCGATGAATAAATAGTAGGGTCAGGAAACCAGTCTAGCTGGCTTGCACACCCGTTCACGGATGTGTAACCGATTGCAAACAAAATGTGGACTAACTAAATTTGGTAATTTGGGGGCAATATTTGAAGAAAAAGTACATGCTTTTTTCCAACGATGGTCGACTGTTTTGAAGTGTGAAAAGTGATCAATAAACGGCCCTGAATAATTTTTTATATGGGTTTTGATGTAGGCCTACACGATATAGCGAGGAAATGCAATCCAGTCAAAGTAAAAATAGATCAGTGTGTTCAAGTAAATCATTTAAAACCATCTCTTCCTTGTCTCGGTTCATAAAATGTTCTGAACAGAGCACTGGGTGAAATCTGATACAGCCCATGATGTAACAGTGGCACGCTTACTAAAAACATGACAATAGCAAATCACACAGAGCCGATAGTGGGCCATTAAACGGGAGTGAAACGAGTTGTACGATATAGTATTTGTGACTCTTGGGTGGTGGAAGGAGTTGCTGTGCAGGTATCTGTCCGTGTGGGTGGGCTTGCAGAAGACACTGCGAGCAAGACTTCCGTCTGGCTTTCTGGACACCTCAACGTCAAGAAATGAGATGTTGCCATCTCTTTCTTGTTCCATGGTGAAAAAGTTTGCCAACTCAGCAGCTGATTGGCTGTTCAAGATAGCTCACTATCCTGTGTTGCCACAATGTTTGCAATGGCATTTTGTGCAGTAAATCTTTACACAGGTATGCATGCATGCATGTATGCATGCATGCACAGTGTGTTTCCAAATAGTGGAATTCTACTGTGGGACTTCGATAGCAAAGATAACTAGTAAATCGTACATGTATGTAACACAGCTGATTTCTTATTGTGAATGGCATGTACACAGCAGTTAATTAATTTGATGTGTGATATACGAGTGTGCTTCTGTGGCAATTTCCTAAGCATTTTGTCACACATGCGTAAGTAAAAAACACCGACTGAGAAATTCTGATAATAAAGAATTTGATCATTTATTCAAATGATAAAATGTCTTATCTTGTCTTAGTATCTTTCCACCATGCAAACCTTCAAATCTCATCATAAAGCTCTTGAAGCTTTGAAACTTCGTGCAATGGTAGGCCTTGATGAATAATGTTTAAACTTATGTAAACAATAGAAAAGCTGAAAACTGAAAAAAATGGTAATACCCTTCATATGCTATTCTTTCGTAAATGTTTGGTGTAAATGAAGATTATATATCTAATATTATTTCGAAATTGCTGCCCTTCTTAGCCCCCTTGATTTAGCGAAGCCATGTGAGATGGCAGAATGCCCAGGAATGGGCAATGACGAGACCACTACTCCCAGAAGGCAATACAATGGGGATAATTGACGGATCACATCAGTGGATTCAGAGACCTTTTCGTTGCAACTTACAACGACTGTTCTTAAGTGAAATTTGATTGCTGTATATGCAACAGTCCGGTCTAACAGTTGTACAAAAGTATCACATAACAGTAAAGGGGTGGCTGTGCGTTTGTAACTGTCACATGCAAATTAAGTATAGGCCTATTTAAGTCAGTCAGTGCTGAAGAGGATGTTTTCTTTGTAAAAGAAAATCGCTTTGTGCGTGCGAGAAGGATCGCCACTTCAATGTCACAATAGAAATCACGCGCCATTTAAATGCCATCATTAAAAGGAGGATTACTTAACGTTTCACCCAACTGTTGGAAGTTGGTAACTGTTACGAATAGCCAACACCTCTAATAGAAACTGTATGCGTGTTTTGGCTAATTGGGGCTAGATTATGCACGGTGTCAACCATGTGGCCTCAAGCCCATACTTGGCCTAATGAATGTTATACAAGGAACAAGAGTTAAAATGTTCCTGGTTCAGCTGTAGTGGAGACGGCCGTCACTTCTCGATATTAAATATGAACCAACTGTTTATACGGAGGGGGGGGGGGGGCCTGAAATGCGTAAATAACGAAAGTGAAATTTCCTGTTCAATTCCGAGAGCTCCCCCGCGATCGTGAACACGTTAAATTTCCGACTTGTGTTTGAACGATGTGATGTGGTCATGCCCAGCGTACATTCGATGGTCCCCGTATCCCGAGTGCGATTCCGTTACCGAGCGCGATGTATCGAATATGATAATGAGTTGGCTGAATCTCGTTTGTAAACACAAGTACATTTCAAACGATGATAGGGAGTCGGGAACTAGGGCAGCTTTTATGGGCGGAAACCAGTTCAAGCTAGTTCCCGACTCCCTTTTATCGTGCGAAATGCATTTGTGTTTACAAATGTGATCCAGTCTTCTCATTATCATAATCGATGCAAGGCGCTTGGTAACGGAATCGCACTCGGGATATGGGGACCATCAAATGAACGCTGGGCATGACCACATCGCAGTGTTCAAACACGAGTCGGAAATTTTACGTGTTTACGATCGCGAGGGGAGCTCTCGGAATTGAGAAAAAGTTACGAGTATAAACAAAGGAAAAGGGAAGATGAACAAAGGAAAATCCTCGATTTACCCCACAAACAAACAAATGTGTGTGAGTTTGATCTGGTACATATACACTGTACCCTGTGGAGACATGTGCACAATAGGGAACAAAAGATTGTTTACACCTCCACAGGGCAATTTCTATACATGTAGGTGAATACGTCCCCACAAGGTTATCACAAAATAGATATATGGATTTTACTCAAAAACTAGGAATTTCTAAGGTGTGTTGATCCGTCGCAAATTGAAGTAAAGGGATATTAAGTCCGAATTCAGCCCAGGAAATTAACTGGTTAAAATGGAGCATTTTGAAACTAAATTTTTAAACTCAAATTTTTAAGTACACACGAACAAACTTACTCATTCTTGTTTCGTAGTTGTGGGGACTTACACTCGTCTGTGCAAGGTATTTGTGGGGACCGAAAATGCTATGGGGACAGCAGAAAGTCCATAAATCGGTCCTAATTTTCCTAACAATAAAAAACTTCCCCATAACGCGGTGTATACCTACCTACACATACACACCCATGCTTGTTTTACATAGCTATGTGGACATTCCTTTGTTTTTATGTAGTTTAGAAAAGTTGGTACAAAAAATAACTTAAACTGTAAAAACTCTGTCAACCCATAGCTCTATGGTCAACCCCACATTGTTTTTTTTTTTTATTTCCTTGAATGTTTCTCCTCATTCTGTGACTGATAACCCTAACCCGAAAATGCCTCCAACTCTGTTTTCCAGAGAGGGTGAAATGTTATGTGGACACGGCTTAGACAGAAAGTTACAGTTTGTAGGAACAAACACATGGTGTTGGCCAATCATGTTCAGCTATTGATGGCAAAAAATAAAAAACGTTCTGCAGCACATGTTCGTTTTCAAGACCACTGCAGTATTATGACCCATCGGCATAATGCTTCAACAGATATTCTTGTATGTTTTCCAAATTTGTCTGATCATTTGGCAGCATATTTTATTTGCTTCTTTGTGTTAGCAGCATCAGCATCACCTACAAGTTTCTGATTTTTCATCTTCTGTTAGGAGACCAAATATTTTCAGTCTCGCGTAACTTCCGCATTTTGTGAAATAGATTCCTGTCACAGCGCCACCACCGGCAGCACTGAAACGTAATGTAATGGAAATTCTATTAACTGTGCAATAGAACTTCCACTGCACCATGCGCTACGCCAGCGCAGTGCGTTGGGACAAATCATTCAAAGACATGTGATCAAAGATCCACCAATCAGATGAGGGGGATTTATTCAGGTGTTGTATAAATGGTTTTATGCCAATAAAGAGCAGTTTAATAATCAAAAACAATTCTGTGTGCTGTTTCCAGAAGTTAAATAGAATTAAAAATATACCTGAATCAGAAACTTCACTTTCTGGACTTGCTCTCAACTGCACACCCAAGGCGCTATGAAAACACCAAATAGAAATGACAAACTAAATATGTGTTTTCATTCACAAAGAGAACACACGCCGTTCTTGACATTTGCTATGGACAATAGATGCATGATCAATAGATGTGCCTTATCATCACTATCATTGATGAGTTCTGCAAAGGAGGGGGATTGTGTATTCACACTAGTTTTGGCATGACAATGTGAAATACATTTCTGTGAATGTACACAAACCTGTACTGTCTTCATGTGATTGCCAAGTATATGGGGGCAATGTATTCAAGCCCCTCCTACACGTACATGTAGCTCTCTTTGAGGGTAAGGGTGTACTTGTGCAAGGAGTCAATGACTTAACATTCATATGACTTTATTATAACGTCACATTTTTTCCTCAAAACTTGATCCAAATCTTCATAACTCAATGAGGCTATCCAGACAACATATTTTGAAGCCTGTTCTTTTTATAATGATAGCATACAGTGGGGCTCTAAAACGTTATTGCATATAAATGAGGACTTAAAGAACAAACTATGGCCATGTCATCCTGCTTTATATTATGAATCATGATACCCAAATGTGACTGTGAATTCAACCCCAACATCTCTGAAAAGATCAACTGCTGAGTGTATGTTTGGTTGGAGCCATTTTGGGGACTGCTGTTTGATTAAAATATTTTTGTTTGCTACTTACTCAATTCCAGCGTTGAGTCTTGCTGCACTTGACAACACTGGCAAGGCTTCCGCAGCAGTACCTTCTCTATCACTTAGTGGAACATAGTAGCCTTCTAGATTGCCTTCATTGCAATGCTTGTCCACATTTTTGGTACTTGCTGATATCCAAAGAATAAAATGAAGTTAACAAGAAACTAAAGCTTCAGAAAACAAGTATGTTTATGCACTGCTTAGATTATAGATTGCCTTATCTCATCCAATGTTTTTTGAGACAAGAAACTTATCTGAACTGATTTCAAGGATATGCGTTTCTACTCTGTTATTCTGAGGAAGATTTTCACTCGTACCCCCCACCCTGCAAACAGGGCGCTGGGAAGGGCTGATGAGCTTCACAGAATCTTATGAAGGAAGTGGGGATGGCATTCTGGGTAACTAATCATGAACTATATAAACGCATCCGGCTGCAGCTGTTTAAGACTGCAGTTAGCTCATGTGCACAAATTATACTCAAAAATTGTCCAATAGAAATGCATACATTCCATGCCGGATGTGAGTTCAAATTAAAATACTTGAGATTTTAAGGGCAAAACTTGAAGGCTTCAAAAGCTGACAAATAACGTATTTGTAACACAAGGGGGTGTATTAAAGGCCCCCCCCACTACAATTTGAACATAATGTGTGGATGTTCATGTAGTTTTTGAACCAACATTAGGTAGAGAGACATACTGAGATACACATAAGCCAAAAAAAGAGTTCCATTTATGCTTCTGAGCTGAATTGGGGTCAGTCAAAATTGCCTGCACATGCACAATGTGTGTCTAAAACACACTGTTGCCAAATTTGGGTGTGTTTTTGCAGCTTTTGTTTTTCATGAAAACGCCAGATACACATGAATTTTTTTCGATAATACAAATCTTGAAGATGCACTCTTTCCTAAAAAAAAACCTAGAAAATTATATCACCTGAGCCACATGAGGATTTTCGCCCTTGTTTTGGGCCAATTTTAAGGCGGATTTCTGGCTGGGGCCATATTAGGGGTCACCCAAATCAGGGAAGACATCTACAATTGCTATTTCTTTTACATAAATGTCAACGTTAGTAGTCAGAGATTACATTAAAATTGAAATGAAATAAAGTTAATCCAAAGTTCCAAGATTAGGGGCCTTCAAATTCCAAAAAATGCATGTGACGCATCATGACGGATCATTTTTGAACCCCCCCCCTAAAATTAAGGTGTGAGGCATGATGGGTAGTATTTTCCTATATTCCTGCTCTACTACAGTAGTTGTACCCATGTATCCAAATTCAGCTTCCAAATCAATTTCAATCTCAAGATATGGGTCCTTAACGTCAGCGATTTATTCTATGGGCCAGCCAGTTTCCCCTTTTTTTTGCAAAGTTCATTGAACTTTGTGCTACCGTAACACCTCAACAGAATGCAATTTGAATTTTTGCTTTCGATATCATCTGTAGAACAACTAACAGAACCTTTCCACCAAGTTTGAACAAAATCTGTGACATATGGTGCCATGGCCTGTTGAATTGGCACGGAATGACCCCATAGGGGAAACAAATTGGGAAATAGGCCTTACAAAACTATGTGTCCGAATCTGGGCCGCGCTGTATTACACATATTCAATTGTATGTAAAATACACTTCATGCCCAATTTACGGACACCTACTCCTGTTTTAATTTTGATCCAATGGAAATTTAACGAATAAAAAAATGGTTAGGGGCCATTCAAAATGTTCAATGTTTTTAGTCACCTGAACAGACAAGATGAACCTGGTATTCCGCCCATTTGCATGGCCCACTGACTTTACGTATGCTTTAAGTCTATACTTCGATGGTCCTATGCATATATGGAGTAGTCTGGTTCCCAGACCAAGAGTTTTTGACTATTTCTGATGAATCTTAAGTCAGGCAGCCGCTAGTATCTATACAAAATATATACAGTATATACATCACGTGACTAAAACGGGAGGAATGCCTCTTTTTCCGAAAATTGCCACATTAATTTCGTCGACAATCGAGTAGTAGCCGGGTATTTCAGAGTACCCCCCCCGCGTGGACCCAGGGGGAGGGGGGAGGGGTTTGAAACCCCTCTACAGAGATGAAACATTTCCGATTTTAATCGGAAATCCGACTTTTTGAATTTTCCAACGAAATTTCCATTTTTCTAAAATTCTGTCCCACAAAATTTGTCTTTTAACGAGTTTTTTTCACAAAATTTCATTTAATTCAATTATAATTTCGAAGAAAATTCAATGAAAAGTCGATGGAAATGGCGCGTTAAAAAAAATCCTCTCGAACGTAGTTTTCATCTCTTTCACCAGTCGTTACTGGAGTGCTTCAACAGTAGAAACACAGGCCAACACTGATTGGAGCCTTTTCCGGCTGGACAAAAGGTTAAACATTGACATGTGACATGGAAAAATCATTGTGTCGCATGGTAATACAGTGTGATGCGTGCATACAGCTGCACATGATGATATGCAATGTACCAGTGTACCAGCGTACGTAATGCGCACCGTCCGCTAGCACATGGCCGGTCGGGAACAGGTAGTCTCATGAACGATCCAGTGGAGAAAATCAATTATGTTGTGCAATTATCGGATGTTTCAGATTTAGTTGTACAAAAATGTAATGCTTTCAAATCATGATTATCTCGAGGATAGCAAAAAGAGTATTAGCGAAGCAATTCACTGGCATTTGTTGGAAGAGAAAGACGATAATGCCTGATTTTTCCCCACGTACGAATGCAAGTGGTGTAGTGGAGTTGTGTGGTTGAATCATGGACATGATTGAAGCACCATGAATGGTGCCCTTGTTTCATCTCACTCCCCCTACTCTGACACCCCAAAAAATGTATTTACCATTTTATCCTTAAAACTAGATGTTTGTGGACAAACACATGGCAAATCATTGTTTTTTATGTCATGTTATAGACTGATGAGATGTAGACGTGCAATAGAAAGTTGCATAGTGATAAGTGACAATAGGTCCGTAGATATGATATGTGACGTCCCTAACACATGATGATGTCATCATGATGTCACTTCAATTTTCATCAATAACACATCCCGGCTTAGGTACATACCAACTTTCAACCCAACTGGACCTGTAGTTCTGGAGATATACATGTAGGCCTTCAAATTATGCAAGTTTAATATGACGTGACATGTCATGTGATGATGTCATTGTGACGTCATTTCAATTTTCATCTATAAGACATCCTGGTCTAGGTACATACCAAGTTTCAATCCAATCGGACTTGTAGTTCTTATACTTATTTAAGTCTTGTAGAAAAAAAAAATTAAATCTTATCAAAAATAAAGGATTCACCCCTGCTCCCCTTATTATTATGTGACATTCAGTTTCAATTCCAACTTTGTTAAATAGGATACTGCATGCGTGTTGCTATTACATTTACAGGTAGTCAGTCTTCGCTGTATATTATACAACTTACTTTTAGCAAATTAAGCATTTGTCCATCCTTCACATTTTAAAATCGTCAGTTACATTTAATTTTTTATTAATCTAATTTTTAGAGTAGAAAAATATAATCCAATCATTTTTATATGAAACAATGTTTAAGGGAGTTATAGTTTTTCTCCCACTAAACGTTTCCTAGTTATAACCCCCTTTTACTGTCCAGGGGTGCCTTTCCAATCAATTCACCTCATACTATATCATTGTCTTACCCCCACATTCTCCTGTATCATCCTCTTGGGCTTTGCCTGATGCATCACATTCTTGTGCCAATTGCAATGATATGCTGGGAACTGCATGCTGACTGTGCTTGCTGCTACATGACGGCTTCCGTAGTATTGACTGTGCTGCTAATAAAGGCAAAGAAGTGCCAAAATGAAACAAATATAATGTTTACTATTTTGATGATTTTTTTTAATGACTTTTATTTCTTCCACGACTTTCATCAAATAAACCACAAGGGGAACTGACTTGGTGCATATTAATACATGTACATGTACACAGTTGAACAAAACTAAATTGGAACCTTGTAACATCTGAAAAATTGTTTTACAGCACGCACATGCCATATCAGAATTCATGCCATATCATGTTTGTTTTTTTCGTGAGGTGGTGGCTAGTGCATTGAATAACATTTGTTATTCCCAGGCACAAAACTGCTTGACCTTCACTTCCAGTGTTACTGAAGTAAAACCCAAAAATGATATAACTTTAAAATGGAAGCATTTTACTATAAACAAACCCTCCAGCAGTACATCAAATAGAGTTTCACTTTTTTTAATTTAAAAACCATCTGTCAAAATGATACCAAATTATCCCAACAGATTTCTGGACAACTGCAAATGACTTTGCAAAGTTCCAAAATCATGACGTCACCAGAAAGTAACTGTACGGGAGAATTCGAAACTGATCATTTTTGTTTAGTTTAAATCCCTCATCAGATCCATGTCTCATGATCATGTTGGTAGCTCAAATACATTAAATCTATTTAATGAAATCTAGTACAGTGTTGACCTTTGGTTTCCAAATGCTGTGACGTCATCAAACCGGAAGTTAGGTGTTATCTAAACATACACTTATAATTTTCATATTTTTAAAAATTATTTCTACTTCATGAAGAACATGTACATAACTCAGAATTCACTTTCTCTTTTTTGACTGATGACGTCATCAAACTGTAAATAACGAGTACATAAAATGCACTCCCTTCCCCACAGTCATGAAGGACAAGGCTACGAGAAAATACTCATTCAAGTAACAACTACATTTGCATATTTCCCTTTGCCGCCAGGCCAATGTGCCAAGCATTTATATCGCACAATAATGCGCCCCTTGGCGCCCACTCATGATGCAATGCGGCGTCACCACCATAATAAATCTGCATTTTTCTTGTGCAAGTCAAGATGGCCAAGATTGACGACATCGAAAACAGAGGAAGGCGTAACACTTTAGTCTTCTATGGGATTCCTGCAGCTAAGGAAGGCACCAAGGAGGACTGTAATCACTTGATCAAGGAGATGCTGGCAGAATTTGGTCTCACCCTTACAGAAAACTTAGCTTGCGGCATCCAGCTCGCGACAAGCTAAAATAAGTTTGCAACTAATTCTGCAAGCAAAGTGCAAGCTCATTGCAAGCTTGTGTGATAGCCAGCAAGCTTGCATGATAGCCTGCAAGCTTGCTACTTAGGTTCAAGCTTGCGGCAAGCTTGCGGCAAGAGCTTGCGTGATATCCTGCAAGCTTGTGTAAGCTTGCGTGATATCCTGCAAGCTTGCGTGATAGCCTGCAAGCTTGCGTGATAGCCTGCAAGCTTGCGTGATATCCTGCAAGCTTGCGTGATAGCCTGCAAGCTTGCGTGATAGCCTGCAAGCTTGCTACTTAGGTTCAAGCTTGCGGCAAGCTTGCGGCAAGAGCTTGCGTGATAGCCTGCAAGCTTGCATGATAGCCTGCAAGCTTGCTACTTAGGTTCAAGCTTGCGGCAAGCTTGCGGCAAGAGCTTGCGTGATATCCTGCAAGCTTGTGTAAGCTTGCGTGATATCCTGCAAGCTTGTGTAAGCTTGCGTGATATCCTGCAAGCTTGCGTGATAGCCTGCAAGCTTGCGTGATAGCCTGCAAGCTTGCGTAATAGCCTGCAAACTTGCTTGATAGCCTGCAAGCTTGCTTGATAGCCTGCAAGCTTGCGTGACAGCCTGCAAGTTTGCGTGATAGCCTGCAAGCTTGCAGTAGGCTTGCCACATGCTGGCTCACTTTTATAGCTGCATACAACGGCACTCTTGGCAGTATTTTTGATCTAAGAACTGAATCGACCTCACTCTTTGGCGCCGGTACGTTTTCCGTGACCGGTTGGACCAATTACAGGACGAGTCAAAAAGAAAGGGCCCGAATTTGAAAAATGTGTTCAAAATATTTGGCTTGTTCCATTTTCATGGGCGTCAATCAGTGGGGGATGAGAGGCCCCCCCCCCCCCCACACCACACCTTTTAAAGAGGGGGGGGGGGGGGGGTTATCATATTGTTTGTTCCCCCACACTTTTTTATCCCAGAATAAAAATTGTAGCCTACATAATGATTCTATAGCTTAGAATAGCTGATTCAATGACTTTAAACTAACAAAAATGATGTTTAAAAGATGATCTTTTGCTCAAAAAAGTGGTTTAAGTACTCAGAAATTGCCTCAGATCGCACCACAGAGCATCTAGAATCCAAATCTTTTCGGGGCCCGCTCCACACGCCGTTAGGGCTTTGTGCTTCACGTTGGCATTACTACTGAGCAAAACCGTCCAGGTATGTCCCCCCACTTTTTAGAAGCGATTGACATCCTTGTCCATTTTATCAAAATAAAAAGGGATAAAGTACATCTTATGGACTTTTAGCTGTGAACATTTCACTTAAATTGCATACTCTATTCTCAAGTTATGTCTATTACAATAAAACGATCCCAAAACTTGGCTGTTCACCACATTGATGATCCTGATTTTTTTCTCGAGGTCTTTTCTCAGATTGATTCTTTTGACTGTGCGTCTCTTATTATTGGTGGAGACTTTATTACCAAGGCTCCCGTCCTCATCATTAGCCGTTTTGGTGTACACACCAAAACAGTCACGATTCTGCGGGATCGTGCTCGAGGTGAATGATGAAGAGGTTAGGTGGATCCGTTTATAGAATTTGTAAGTATGGAATTATTAATACACGTTTTTTCCACCCGCCCATCCCAAATAGGGGAAGCGCCCTTTTTGCGGGCTCAGGTGTCTACGCTCAATCGTTTTACATGTACGCCCATATCTAAGACTTGTAAAAGCCAGAGCCCCAAGACAACACAGCAATGCAAATAGAATACTATTAGGCCGGGGGCCTACATCACGTACATTGCACCTTTACAGCAAAATACTAGTGTGGTACTAGTTTTAGACACGTCATGAGTCATGACTATGAAAATTAATTCAGGTTTTTTTCTCCCTTCTGCGAGGGAATTGCATTTTATTTGCCCTTATATTTTTCCAGAAATTTTCTTGGTTTTAAATACGACCACTTTCAATTTCAAGAATGGGTAGTTCAGATTTGAAGTAAAAAATTGGCATAGATTGCCGCTGCAAGACAAAATAATATGGTGTGCACACAGGTTTCTGACAGAAAAAGTCATCGGTGATTGCAATTTCCAAATGCAACAACAGGATTTGCCAGGAGAAATCACATTTTGTTTTGTAACAAAAATATACCGTAAATAATTGTGCATGTATAATGACGTTGAGAAATAAACATTGAAAATTGCTACCGTACCTATCCTGGTCACAGGCGCCAGGCCAGCCAGCCCGCGCCTGCAGACCAGGCTTGCGAGCGGATCCCTTGCAAAATACAATCAAATTTTCCCGCATGCCTTGTCGAGCCTGGAGCTTAAAACCCTACTTTGTGGCAATCACTGCTAATTGGCTTTGTCTTAAGAACAAACAGGTCTTTTATTACTACCAATGATCCAGTAATGTCAAAAATCCAACTCGCGTGACGTACATGTACATGTACATGTTCGTCACGCTGGAACTGCATGTGCTTTTCAGCATCTTGACTTTCAGAATCACATCCTTGGACCTGGCTGAGGGATCATACCACTATGCGTGTGTAAATAATCAGTCTCCATCGTTAGGTGGTCTCCATGTATGTAAGTAAATTTCGGCAGGCAAAACTCTATACAAATAATTAATAAGTACATTCTACCCCCAATTTTCTCAACGGATTCACATGATTCACATGGGTTGACTTTGGAGGCCTCCCCCCCCAAAAAAAAGATTTCCGGGGGGAAAAAAACGGAGAAATCACATCCCTGACAATTACTTTTGCATACTGATAACAATGTCCAATGATACGTCTTTGTGAAATCAGATTTCGAAAACTTTCACACCTTGCCCGGGGTTCGACTTTAGCAGTAGCCGCTACTACACCGGCGGGCTAGTCAAACTTTGCCTTAAGTAGCTGGCTGGCGAGTCAAAAATTATTGGGATACAGCAAAGGTGAAAGGGCAGGAAGAAATAAATCATTAAATTCAGAAAGGAAACACGTATCCATTTTCTGTTTATTTAAAACACTGACAATATTGCCTCGGGAAACACATTTCACATGTATGCACATTGCTGTTTATGAGACACTCTATAAAACAAAAAAACATGCGGGACAGTGAAAATGCTTGCGGGCTAGTTAAGAGTCTGTTTCAGTAGCCCGGCTGGCTAGTGAACAAGAAAGTTCTAATCAAACACTTCCTCACCATCTATTTTAGTTGATGACCCAAGACCGCTTGCTTGCTCAGAGCACTCTGCACCATCTAGTATTGGCACCACACTTGTAGTTGCACAGTGGCTACGTAGACTAATGTCAGACATACAAGACTGCATCTTCTTCATAAGAGATTCATGAGTGGAAGGGGTAGAGTGATGATGTTTCTCCTTTTTTTCTTTACTCTTCCTTGGAGCATTTGCTACAAACAAGTTCAAAACAGTAACAACAAAATTATGTAATTTATAAAATGTGGATAAGGTACGGTCTATCATTTGCAGCTACCTAGAAAGTAGTTGACATAATTATTGTTGAAAAGCATACTTGGTTTAAAGATAGTAATGGGACTAAACTCCCTGTGAAATTATTCTTTCCAGCAAGCTGTCATTTTGAAGAAATCAATGAAAGAAGGCCTTTTAATCATATCAGTGCCAATAGTTTCACAGATATGGGCTTATAAAAATGCACCTGGTGACGTCATCAATCTCCCCCTCAACTTGTTGTAAGCATGAAGCTGGTTGTATACATCAATTAAAACTTTGCCACACTCATCTGCAGGTTATTCATTTTAAACTTTTTTCAACCTGCCGCTAGAGGGCGCTCTGACATTTTATGACATCACTGTTAATTTTGTTGTTAAGAACAACTTAGCCAGAGCATATATAAAGCAAAATTTATCAATTTAAAATTACAAGGCACTTCCGGTTTGGACTGGAAGAAAGGATCACATAATTTTGCAAGTAATATCAAAAATGAAGACCCTGGATTATTCTATCAATTCCAGCAAAAGACTAAATCTATTAATATTTATGACGTTGGTGGCCACTTACACCTTTATTATACTACACGAAAAATAGGCCACATACGTATCACCTAGGTCAAATAGTGCCCCCCCCCCCCCTCAGGTAGGCCACTGGTAAATGTTCGGCACACATCTTGAGATGCTGGTCTAAGTGTGTGTCGCGTATAAAGACAATCTGATTGATTTTAGTATCCAAAGTGCCTTCCAAAACGAAAACATCTAGCAAAGGCTGTTTCGGCCGGTTGGTGAAACAGCAAAAAAGTTAATGCGGCCTGACAATGGGAACTTCAGAGGCAAAATGACCAAAGGTATTAAGGTACAGGAAACAAATATGTAGGGACTGGAGAAAGAAGTACAAAACTGTGAAAGGGATAAACTAAGGTAATAATGGGGGAGAGCAGATGGATGAGTTGAAAGGGGATGACAGCATGGGGGGAGGAATACACCCAAGAGGTGTGGGCAACGGGAACAATAATAACAATAAAATGAATTATTTAAAAAAACACTTTCCATGTCACAAAGACATCTTAAAGCGCTGTACAATTAAAAATCCACAGGTTATTAAGAAAGACTGATAATACCAGTTTTAAAAACAATCAATTAAACTAATTAAAAACTAAACAATTAACTTAAGTGATACAAAAGTAATGCTTAAAAAGATGAGTTTTCAAGTAGGCTTTAAAAATGTCCAAGGTATCAGCAGATTGGATTGCTGCCGGTAGCCTATTCCACAGATGGGGGGCATTTGTTGTGAATGACCAATCGCCCCCCCCCCCCCCAAATATCCATTAAAAAAAATGGCACTTGCAAAATGTAAGAATGTGACGCGAACGGTCTCCCCCTAAATAAATTGTCATGAGAAGGGTGCATTTGTACACTTTTAGTTAATGTAGTGTGCCTGATTGTAGAATTTTATCAGTGCTCAGCTCACCCCCCCCCCCACCCCCACGTATTGATTTTCGGAGGCCTAAGTGTCCAAAGAAAATAACCGGTCTAAACTTCAGCCCGCCTCCGTGAAAAAAAATTCTGGATCCACCCTGCTAGCCCCCCAAAATATTGGCTCTAGAACCGCGCCTGGTCTAAGGGGACTCTGCCCTTAGGGACCTACATGTACCGGTATAGTCTGTTTGGCACTACATGTGGCAGCTAATTTGTCCAAGGGAATTTTCCTGTATGGAACTGCATCACATACTCTCCCAGTGATTTCCTGTGTGGACCCCGTCCTGTGTGGACCCCGTCCTGTGTGGACCCCGTCCTGTGTGGACCCCGTCCTGTGTGGACCCCGTCCTGTGTGGACCCCGTCCTGTGTGGACCCCGTCCTGTGTGGACCCCGTCCTGTGTGGACCCCGTCCTGTGTGGATCTCGTCCTGTGTGGACCCCGTCCTGTGTGGACCCCGTCCTGTGTGGACCCCGTCCTGTGTGGACCCCCATCCGGTGTGGACCCCCATCCTGTGTGGACCCCGTCCTGTGTGGACCCCGTCCTGTGTGGACCCCGTCCTGTGTGGACCCCGTCCTGTGTGGACCCATTCCTGTGTGGACCCCGTCCTGTGTGGACCCCGTCCTGTGTGGACCCCCATCCTGTGTGGATCCTATCCTGTGTGGACCCCCATCCTGTGTGGACCCCGTCCTGTGTGGATCTCGTCCTGTGTGGACCCCGTCCTGTGTGGACCCCATCCTGTGTGGACCCCCATCCTGTGTGGACCCCCATCCTGTGTGGACCCCGTCCTGTGTGGACCCCGTCCTGTGTGGACCCCGTCCTGTGTGGACCCCGTCCTGTGTGGATCTCGTCCTGTGTGGACCCCGTCCTGTGTGGACCCCATCCTGTGTGGACCCCGTCCTGTGTGGACCCCCATCCTGTGTGGACCCCCATCCTGTGTGGACCCCGTCCTGTGTGGACCCCGTCCTGTGTGGATCTCGTCCTGTGTGGACCCCGTCCTGTGTGGACCCCGTCCTGTGTGGACCCCGTCCTGTGTGGACCCCCATCCGGTGTGGACCCCCATCCTGTGTGGACCCCGTCCTGTGTGGACCCCGTCCTGTGTGGACCCCGTCCTGTGTGGACCCCGTCCTGTGTGGACCCATTCCTGTGTGGACCCCGTCCTGTGTGGACCCCGTCCTGTGTGGACCCCCATCCTGTGTGGATCCTATCCTGTGTGGACCCCCATCCTGTGTGGACCCCGTCCTGTGTGGATCTCGTCCTGTGTGGACCCCGTCCTGTGTGGACCCCATCCTGTGTGGACCCCGTCCTGTGTGGACCCTATCCTGTGTGGACCCTATCCTGTGTGGACCCTATCCTGTGTGGACCCCCATCCTGTGTGGACCCCCATCCTGTGTGGACCCCGTCCTGTGTGGACCCCGTCCTGTGTGGACCCCATCCTGTGTGGACCTTGTCCTGTGAGGATACCGTCCTGTGAGGACACCGTCCTTTGTGGATACTCTCCTGTGTGGATATCCCCCTGTCTGTGTGCCCAGGATAGCCATCGAGTACCCGTACGTGCATTTGGAGGACAAGTTTGACTCCCGGTCGAGGGATAACTGGCTGCATAGGACCGTCAAGTGTAACTGAGTCAGGACACTAGGTGTACCAACATTGTATTAAATTGAAACCCTTCAGACAGAGCGCGGAACCGATGTACATATGTGGTGGTGGGTTTGAAGTTATAATACTCTTTAGGAGGTGAAAGAAATCCAGAATATATGTAAATAGACATTTGGAATTTAATTACATTATCTTTTTACAGTTTGCAAATCTTGGTGTCCTAATAGAGTCATTTATTTGTTCTGCTGTTCCAGTCAGAATGTGACCAACAGGGGTGTCCAGTCTCTTGGTGTTGACAGTCGATCGATGACCACAGAATCGCTTCTTAAGCGCCTTCTTGGTCTCACTGACATACTGCTTTCCACAAACCCTGCTAGAGATGAGATATATGACATGAGAGGTGTTGCAAGTGATGTTACCAATGGTTCTGTGAGTAGTGCCAAAAGAAGGACCAGAAAAGGAGTCAGACTCCTGGATGTGGATCGGGCAACAAAACCAAACAACACATCTGGAACTACACTTAGAAGTACCATGCTTGGTGGGAGGGGGGGGGGCTTTTCTTGGAGAGCCAAATTTCTAGGGATAGCTTTGGCTCTGGCAATAGCACAATAAACTTGGCGGGAGCTGTGACCCCTGGCAACTATTAAAACCTATGCATCATCAGAGAAATAAAAAATCATTAGAACAAGTTCTTCACCCCTCTAACAATGCCTAGGGTGACAGCTGAAGGAGTGGAGGTACTAGTGGGTGTCTGTGGGTTTAGAATAGAGATCAATGGTTATTGGGTTGTCTTCCTTGAGGATGGTGACGTCCATAAAATGGGCCTGATGAACTTAGTAATGTGAACTTGATAGTTCCATGGAAAGGATTGCCCGCGCCATACCTGACAACCGGTGTTGGCTTACAGGTGCCCGCGCAATCTACGAGACCTGATTGTTGAAGCTGACATCCCTACCTTAGATGCATCCCCTCCCACCAAGCATGGTACTTCTAAGTGTAGTCCTGGATGTTTGTTTGGTTTGTTGCCAGATCCACATCCAGGAGTCTGACTCCTTTTCTGGCCCTTTTTCTGGCACTACTCACAGAACCATTGGTAACATCACTTGCAACACATCTAATATCATATATCTAGAGATGAAACTGGCATATGGGGAAAAAAATGGGAAAATAGGCCGAACAAAAATACGTGTTGAAATCTGGGTCGCTCTGCAGTTACACATGTACATGTACACACATATATGTACAATACACTTCTTGCCCAAATTCCGGACACTGCCCCCTGTAAATTTTACAATGAGAAAAATCTTCAGTGTGTTAATAAAATGAACAAGCTTAAATTACGCTCAGAGCGACAAAGTTATCTACAAAGAAGTTAATTTCTTACTTGAGAAAGTTGAAGAGAAAGTCCGAAAGACAAGGGCACCATTCATGACAATATTCAATCATGTCCACGATATTTATTCCTCCATAATTATTCAACCAAACTCCACTAACGTACGTTGGAAAAATCGGGCATTATCGTCTTTTTCTTCCAACAACTGCCAGTGAAATACATCACTTACATTGTGCTCTCTTCGCCATCCTCAAGATATACATGTAAGCCATTGTGATTATTAAAGCATTGCATTTTGTACAACTAAATCTAAAACCTCCGAAAATCGCACGTTGGATTTTATTCATTGTGGCTACCCATACCCGGTTGTACTGTGGTACCGTTGCATATGCTAGCTGGGCACGCACGCACCACACACTGTCCGTGTGACGCAGTGATTTTTCCATGTCACACATGTCACAGGTCAATGTTTAACCTTCAATTCAGCCGGAAAAGGCTCCGAACAGTGTTGGCAACCATAGAAACACTCCATTAACGACTGGTGAAAGAGATTAAAACTATGCTCGCGATGATTTTTTACGTGCTGTTTTTATCGACTTTTTCATCAAATTTTCTTCAAAATTATGTTTTAAATAAAATCACACATTGTGGAAAAAGCGATAAAAAATCAAATTTTGTGGGATAAATCATACAAAAATCGGAAATGTTATTGGAAAAGTCAAAAAGTCAGTTTTCGGATTAAAATCTGAAAAGTTTGATCTCTGTATATCTCATATCTTGCAGGGTTTGTGAAGTGCAGTATGTTGGTGAGATCAAGAAGCCTTTCTACGGTCATCGATCATCTGTCAACACCAAGAGACTGGACACCCCTGTTGATTGCCACTTCAACCTACCTAATCATTCCATTTCTGATATGATTTACCAGGGCATAAAATCACTTAGCCATAGCAAGGACTCACTTCGCTTCAGCAGGAAGAATGTGTGGATGAATGGTCTTCGGACTGTTCAACCACATAGCTCAACATCAAACTAGGAATGATTAACCATTGCCTATCTTCCTGTATTGTCATTTGTTACAGATTATTCCATTGCCCACACCTGTTGGGGGTGTATTCCCCCATCCCCCCCATGTTGTCCTCCCTTTCAACTTTACCCTGTGTCTCATCCATCTGCTCCCCCCTCCCCCATTATTACCTTAGTTTATCCATTTCAAAGTTTTGCACTCCTTGCTCCTCTGCACCCTTTTGTTTCTTACCCCCATCACACTCTTTTGTTCAGATTTCCACTCCTTCCCTTTCATCTTCCTCTACATTGGTCTGTCCTCCCCAACTGAATCTGTCCTTTGTAAGTCTTTCCACTTCATCTTCATCCACACTGGTGTCCCCCCTCCCAATCAATCCCTTTTGTGTTTCTCCTGCCAACCCTGCATGCTTGTGAGTCCCTACATGTTTGTTTCCTGTACCTTGGTCATTTTAACTCTGAAGAAGAACTTGTGCAGTTCGCAATGTCGTGCCGCATTATTTTTTAGATTTGTATATTTCCAGTCAGAAAGCAGTTTGCAGCAGTTTTCTTCCAAATGATACCGGTACATTTCACGCAAACTAGTTTCACAAGGTATTTGATATCAGTCCTGTCTTCGTTTTGAGCAAAACTCAAAAGCATTAAAATGGACCTGTATTTTTGTCTAATTCAGAGATGTCTACTCCACTTACCATTTATGAACAAAAAACTGAGTACCCATGTGTTGCTTATGCACATGGAACATTAATGCGGGCTGAAATAGGAAACACTTCCAGCATGAAATTCTATAGCACATGCACAATGCAAAATTAGTCAACACTGCAAAATCTGAGAGGGTTACCAAAACACAGCCCTGTAACGCCTACCCCTAATGTTACTCAAAGGCATTGTAGTCTGACAATTTACCCAAAATCAATCAACCAAACAAAACACAAGAACTAGACAACTTACTATGGCGAATCTTGTATGGTGGTCTTGGCAGAAACCCCCACAAGCTATCTCCTGCTCCAATTGGTCTGTCCTTTAAGTCCAGCAATTGTAAAAGCATGGCTTCTTCATTCCTCAATGTCTGTAAGATCTCTTCCCCTTGCTGACCCTCAAGATGTCCAAGGCTTATGCTAGCATCTGAGCCTCCTTGAGCTCCCTGGCCAACCAGACACTCTACCTGGGTTCTGGAGTCTATCAATCTGCTGTGGTCTACATCGTTTTCTAGGGACATTGTCTCTTCATCAATATCATTTTCTTCCAAGCTATTTTCAGCATCAGAATTAGCTCCGTCATCCAAGGATGTTGAAGAGGACCCACAAATACTGATCTCACATTCAGACAACTAAGAATAAAACAAAAAAATAAGACTTTACCTCCAGAGGTTTTACCAATATCTTTTTAAAGTAAAAGTAAAGTAAAAATAAATACATTTATATTACACCAATAAAGTTTTAGCCTTGTAAGTAAGTTCTTCATTAATTATTTAGTTCGATCCATTATGGGGGCTAGAACCGAGGTCAGTTCAATGGAACTGCAAGTGGACAGTATGCAGAAATGGAAGGGAGGTGTAACATTTGCAGGAACTTCAAGGACCTCCAAGTGAAGTTGCTGGGGTTGACATCCCAGTATTATGCAATACAAAGGGCTGACAGGAATATGGAATTCAGTCAAAAGATTTACTGCTCAGACAAATTTAGGTTGTGCCAGAAGTATGACTAGTAATAATAATAAAAAAGGCCAAAGCGCAGCATTGCCCGAGGAGTTACATCCCTGCATGTTCAGTCTCTAAAAGCTAGTTGGGAATGAAGGAGGGGGGGGGGGGAGTAGGGGCAAATTTCCCTGTACCTCTCATCATGACTGAGGATTGTTGCCACAATATAAAAGTTAGTAAAAGCCTCAATTAAAAAAAGAAGATAGATTCTCTACTGAAAATCAAATCTGCTGGAATATAGTTTCAGCACACACATAGAAATGACACACACACAAAAATAACAGCGTTGCTGTTGAAACCCCTCAGCCAGAGTCAAGTTATAATCCGGAAACCATTAACCTTTAACTCAACATGACTTTGACCTTTGACCTTTGACCCCACAACCAATCCCAACATGCCTGTTCCAATGGGCAACCCTCTACCGAAGTTAGACACCAAAATTTCATTTCTAACTGAAGTTATCATCCGGAAACCATTTACCTTTAACTCACCACGGTGACCTTGACCTTTGACCCCAAAACCAATCCCAACTTGCCTGTACCCAAGGGCAACCCCCTACCTAAGTTAGACACTAAAATCTCATTTCTAACTCAAATTATCATCCATAAACCATTTACCTTTTAACTCACCACAGTGACCTTGACCTTTGACCTTTTGGCTGTAGGTGATGACAATACCCCTCGAGCCTCTCGGCTGAGGGGTAAAAAACTTTTAACAGACCATCTCTCATAAAGTGAGCTTAGTCAATAAGTTACATTACTGGTGAAATTACAAGCACACAGGCAATGTCAATTCTACAACTATGCTTTGTTTCTTTGCTTCAGAAGTATAGCATTCATGTTATAAAATGCCATAATATTCCCAAATCCAAATTACTGCTTCAGCCTGTGAAAAATAGTGAACTGATGATAAGTATTGTACCTGTGCATCTTCATCATGTTCTGACACAGTTTTCTCATTCTTCCTGTTTGGAGACTCTTTGTCAGTTGCTATGGCAACAGTTGCACGGACTGATCTAAATCTGCTACGTGACTGCTCTGAGTGGCTGTTCCGTCTATCATGATCTAATAAACGAAAACAAATGGGAACACGCTGAACATGAAAGTGAACATCTTGTATTTAAAGGGTGTATTGAGCAAATGCCTGCTTTTCACCTTTTGTTCTTGTCTCCTTATTTTCAACCTCACAAACACAAGACTTTAGTTGCGTTCAATTTGTAAACATAGTGTTTTCAACAGCATTGTTTGAAAGGAGACATTATTTTCAGATGTCATCTCTAAAAAGACTGCAGCATGTCATAACCTTGCTGCCAATAAACAAAAATGCAAACTTTCACAACAATGTGGATTTGCAGATTTTCTTCATCTGTTCCTCCTTTGAAATTTGATCAACTTAAGTACAAGTTCATCGCATTCAATTTATGCCTGACAGCTTAAATTTAATCTGCTTTATGACACATGCACTACTTCAGGGTTATTATGAAAATGCAGCTGTTGTTGCTTGCCATACTCCTCACATTGATGTACTCTGGCAAAGAACCATGTCCGAAATAATGTGTAGGTGAATTCCAGAACTACCTGGCTGTGCTATTTGAACGCATGTTAATGACAGGCTTACACTGACACTTGAGGGAATGTATTTCTGATGAGTTATTAATCAAAATGAACATTAGCAAACATGGTCAAAGTTGGCTAAGTACTGGTGGATCTTGGTATCAGAAGTCTTGGCAAACCCATATCATATGGGGTGTGGTGACTCCTGTTAGAGTACCCTCTGTAATCATTTTGCAAGGACTACCGGTAGATAAAGCCAACCCTGCATGTATAAAATATGGAGCTTAAGTTACTGCCATTTTTTTAACCCACAACTGCTGTGGTTACACCATGGTGAATAGTGATAAGTAGAAGAATTCAGTGCAATTCAGCTCAATTATTATTTGATAAATGTGATTTTAAAGCAGTCCTGATGTCCCACATTCTAATGTGCTTAAATATTTAAATAACTTGATAACTGTCCCTACTGAGGTGAAGATGCAGTTTTTTTATTAAAGCACCAGGATTTTGTTTTCATGTAGCACATTATTAAAGCCCATTAAATGCAGGATCAACTCTTGTAGAAATAATGGCGGGTCCCAAAATGGTTTGGAGGAGACGTCAGAGTAGAGCGCAGAGACTCCATTCAGAACAGCAGTGGGTGAACAAACCTGTTCAACAGTTTCAAGTTTTCAATAGGATGCCATACGTGAGGGTTGGGTACTCATAAACTCCAAACGGTACACCCCCCCCCCCCCAGTAACTGTTTGACTCAGAACCCTAGCAGCCATATTCTGCCATGGCAACAGGTCGTGCGAGTCACGCTCAGGTATTGTGCATGCAATCCAGGCACCTGATCCATAGCAATTCAAAAATGCGAGCGCACCCCATCTTTAAGATTGCATGAAGCATACACGTGAGTGTGAGACTACGGCAGTAAATGCTTCCAATTCTGGTCGCCAGATTCCAGTATTACATCAATCCATGCACACAAATTTTACCACATGCACATGTTGTGATGTGCAACATTTAACTGGCATAGCACCATAGAGCTATATTAAATTACTAGAGCACTGACTCTTGTACAAAGTGATGCCTGCTGGGTGCATCCATGTTTGTACACAAACCTACGGAAAACTCAACATTTTGTACGGCTATTTGCATATCTGCATTCGTATTCTATACAGGTGCATTATCGAAGCCGATACGCCCAAAACCGAAATGCACAATAAGCAAATGAGCATTTCATTTTGCTCAACGCAAACAGCACAACGCGTATGCGTACCCACTGCAGATGATTACCCTGATGTTTTTTAAACCGTCGTGAAGCACTTAAGTTGTTGTTCTACTTGCTTTTTGCATTTAGAGTACACTTTCAAAATTCAATCCATCTATTTTGATTGTGTTCTACAAACACGCACATGAATTCAAACTGTCTGCGCCCAGAGCGGCTTCAAAGCGTCTCCGCACGCAAGAATGAGGAGTTAGTGCTCTAGTAATTTAATATAGCTCTATGCATGGCATGCAGTTGCAACTGGTGTGTGTGAACTTGATAGGTAAGTTTCAAACATTCAAATAGAATTGGAAAATGGAAAATAGACAGCCCTCCCTAGAAAATGGGTGCAAGCATAGAAATGTGAGCAAAATGAAATGCATTCACTGGCCATTGCAGGGGACAGCGTGAAGCTCCAGTCATATGCAGTGACCAGACACTCAGGCAACTGGAGCAAAGTCATTTGAAACCGCTTGCAAGATGCTGCCTCAACCTTATACAGTGTATCCTCAAGTATATTTTGGACAGGGCCGGCAATGAGGGCTTTTTGTGAGTGCTTCCCTGTGGCTGCTGCCATTGATGTTTTGTAGCATCTGGCAAGCAGGTCACGCCCAGTGAAGGGTTGGGAAATGAAGAAAAATACTACATAGCAACTTTCCTGAGAAAACTGTAGACAAACTTGAAACTGGCTGAGGATGACCCATGAATGCTATACTTCTGAGTGCATGGGGCAACCAAGGCTTCACTGTCAAGAATAGGGAGTGTGAATGGTCAAGGTGGGGCAAGTACAACTTCACTTGACAAGCAACTAATTGTCCGAAGTGGGAAGTACTAAATCGCAGGCTGTAATGAAGAGCACTTAACGATATCAAAGGGACGTTGATGACAACTACAAAAATGGAAGTGAAAGATGACAAGAATAGAGCAATGGTTGTGTCTTCTTCAGGTAAGACCTGTTTCTTTGTTTTTCTTCTTTTTTTCTTTTTAAATAACAGTGATTTCATCTGATAATTAGGCATGAAATTAACATTTAAAGAAAGTTTCAAGGCGCTTTCGTGAGGAAACTTAATATTTGCCATGAAATTAATATTGAAATTCATAGTGCAGCAGGTAGCAATCTGCACAATCAAATTCCAACACATGGTCTGAACTTGGTCTCAACACATGGTCTGGCACGAATCATGTAACAAAACTATTCTACTGAGAAATTGTAATTTCTTTGAATTTATTAACATGGTCTATACAGTGCTAAACTTGAGCAGTGTTATTGAAAGGCTATATTCACACAAATATACTGTAATGTGCAATTCAAAGAGCATCACCTGGTGATTTCCCACTGTCTGATTGATGTCGGGATAACTCAATGGCTAGTCTCTATAACAAAGGAGGGAAAAGAAAATCACAATTAGTCTTAAATATTGTAAAAACACTGGTTAAAGAGCACAGCAATATGTACACATGCATGATATGAATTCTGTCAGCAAAAAAGCATTTAGCAAACCTTTATATTTTTATCTAGTTTTTAATGAGACCTATTACCTTTTGAATTGTCTAATTCTAAAAGAATGTGTATACATGTATTGTGTTTTGGCTGTTGTAATTTCATTGGTCTAGAACGGCCGTGTGTCTAGTCTATAAAAAGACTGTGAACATGTATGTGTGAGTTTGGTTCTGCATTCAATAGGTGAGGTGGAACAATAGAGGACAATAGTGTCCCCAATTCCCGAGAGGTTCCCAATTTGGATTTGTGTACAAAACATACGAGAGGTCTTCCTAAAAAGTTTGAGTACAAACAAAAGAGGGACAACAGGGGGTCCCCAATTGCAGGCAAATACACACTTGTATGGGCATATGTGTGTGAAGGGGAGGGGGGGGGGTGTCACCTCATTATGGGGAAGTTATGTTATTGTTAGGGAAATTAGGACCGACTTATGGTGACTTTCAGTCCCCATAAAACCATGGGACAACTCATGTGTAGTCCCCACAGAACAAGAATGTGTGCACCACAAGAGTGTGTGCACCACAAGAGTGAATGTCTGCAAGATGCACACATATACTTCTTTAAAAGTGCAAGTGCAACAGTGTTGAAGTTCATTTTAGTTAACCCATCTGAGTACACCAATCTGTGTCTTCTCTTTTAGGAAATGCTGGTGTGCATCTATGCAGGCCTTGGCTTTGTGCTATCTGATACGCCTCTCTTTGTGAGCACCACTTCTACTTTCTCTTCCAAACTGTCTTCTGTATGAAGCAATCCAAAGCAGAACACCTGCTATGCATCCAAGATCCTCCTAGTGCTCATAAAAACATCATCCATTATCAACCAATGGTGACTGACAACTCCAGCAGGCAATGAGATTTTCATATGCAACAATTCACATATTTCAGTGATGCAGTCTACTAGATCATGTGACCACTTGAAGTCATTTCGAATGAGGGAAATGCTTGGGCATCAGATGTCGTCAGCAATACATTTGAATGCCTCTCTCGGTGATCTCCCCCAACTCTCCCTGTCATACCGTTGAGGGGGTACCGTGCAAGGAGCCCACTGCTACTGGGCCATTTCAAAAATAGGGCTGGATGATCGGGAAACTTTCGTTTTTATATTGTTTATTTTGAATAGATGTGGTCAAGGTGTATGCTTAGGCTACATTTATTCACATCACATACATCTTTTCGGTCCAAATTATTTTCATTGCACCATGGAAGCCATCAAAACTAACCCCCAAAAGATAAACGCTAATCAAGGAGAAAATATTTAAGGTCCACGATATTTTGAAATAAATTTCACACCATGTCCAATGAGAAATTGGCCAACAGAGTCCATACCATGTGGCATCAGCGTGTGTGGGTTGCCAAGTAAACCAGTAGCTACATGCATGCACAGGCAGCGGACAATTTGTAAAACACAACATATGCATAATACACGCACAGAAAAAAGATCACATGTTGAATGCGTTCGATTACTTCGCCCACCTTACTCGCGCCTGGCTCCTCACGTAATGACAGACATGTGCAGTGGAGCTAAATAAGGAACGGTTTCGGGAAAAGTTTCAGGCAAGAGCTGAAAACATGGGCGTCACCAGGATTTTTTCTAGAGGGGGGCAAAACATATTTTCCCCCCAAAAATCCTGTTTTTCTCAACGTATTATCGATTTATCAGTTTAAGAGGGGGTAGGGACATTTTTCCCCCCACCTGTTAAATTTACACTAACATGACTTCTCGCCTCTTTTCTTTTCTGTTTTTCTCTCTTTTTTTTCCCTTCCTTTTTTGTGTGCTTTTCTGGGAGGGGGGGGGGGATGTTGAAACCTGATGCCACTTTTTTCTTTATGTATCACCTCAATGAAGGTCATTCATTGCAAAAATGATGATAAGACATGAATCTGGGACTGAAAAATATTTTCAATTTTGTCAGGAAAAAAAATTCTTGACTTTCCATAGACTTTGTACACAACTGCGGAAATTGCGTCAGGTTGCAACATTTTTCCCAGGCTGCATCCAAATTAATTAACTGTCTAGAGCACGTCCACGCCCAGTGAAAATACATGGGGACGCGCTGACAATAATTCATAGCTGTAGCTCTGTGCATAGAGCTACATAGGGTTTGTAGTTCCATGCTCCGTGGAAGCCCGTTTCGGACACGGCCTGAGGCGCCCGCCGGATGTGGCATGGCCTTGTGGGATACTTACCCGAGTAACCGGCACGGCGAGTCGGTTACTTGGGCCAGGCTCAGCCAGATCGGCCAGACGGCACTTGGTTTCGCCAATGTAAAGCTTACCACAGCGTTTACATGTGATGCAATAGACGAGATTAGTTGTCTTACACTTGTAGTGGCCGCGGATGCTGAAACGGCCACTACAAGTGTAAGACAACTTATCGACGATGCCGTGGTAACAACGCTGACGCTCATGTCCTTGGTAGTGTGTGGTGGCGCGCCAAAGTGTTGCGCGACAGCCAGGTCAGGTTGTTGAAGCTGAACGCTACAGAGATGCTCCGTGAACCTATCAGCCAGATGGCGCTTGGTTTCACCAATGTAAAGTTTACATGTGATGCAATAGGAGAGATTAGTTGTCGTACACTTGAAGTGGCCACGGATGCTGAAACGGCCACGGGGTCCAGTGATGGACGATGTCTCATGAACATAGGCACAAGTCTTGCATCTAGGATGATGGCAAGGAATAGTTCTGTAGGGGTCTTTGTCTAAAGTGCTCCCAGTGTCAGGAAGAGTTGAACGCACCAGATGGTTGTTGATGGATCGATTCCGTCTGAAGAGACAGAGGGGGGTTGTGGATTGGTCAAAGATGGCGCTAGTTGCTAGATCATCCTGCGGCGTCTTGAAATGCTTTAGGATGATATCACTGACCGTCAAGTTAAGCGGGTGGTGAGGACAAGTGGGATTCAGTGCTGTTGCTTGGGAGGGGCTTGTTACATGGCGTCATAACAGGTGACTGATGATACCCTGCGAAGAGAAGCATCGGTGACTGAAGATGGGTATCCACGTTGCTGGAAGAACCCCTTAATTTCTTTACTACAGTGATGAAACTCGCCATCCTCGCTGCAAATTCGACGGAGGCGGAGGAATCGGCTATATGGGATGGCATCTTTGCACTTCTTGGGGTGGGACGACTCGTAATGCAGGTAGCTCTTTCAACTCTTCCTGACACTGTGAGCACTTTAGACAACGACCCCTACAGAACTATTCCTTGCCATCGTCCTAGATGCAAGACTTGTGCCCATGTTAATGAGAAATCGTCCATCACTGGACCCCGTGGCCGTTTCAGCATCCGCGGCCACTTCAAGTGTACGACAACTAATCTCGTCTATTGCATCACATGTAAACGCTGTGCTAAGCTTTACATTGGCGAAACCAAGTGCCGTCTGGCCGATCAGTTCACGGAGCATCTCTGCAGCATTCAGCTTCAACAACCTGACCTGGCTGTCGCGCAACACTTTGGCGCGCCACCACACACTACCAAGGACATGAGCGTGTGCGTCGTTACCACGGCATCGTCAGACACGCAGCGCCGCTCCTCAGAACAGCGTGTGATGTTCCAACTTGGTACACTCCAACCTGATGGGATGAACATGGACTTCACCACGTTTGTTCTACCACATGACAACAAGCCATAGTCCCCTGAAGAAGGTGCACCACACCGAAAGCTCGGGAGAAATTTTCCGGTGAGCACTGTAAATATTTTGTACTTCTTGTCATATATACATAGACATACATGTACATACCCACATGTATACCAATACATGTACAGTACATGGATACACACATGCATACATATCATCCGGGGCAAATTACTTTTTTTCCCCCTGCCTGACGACCTTTCTCAGCAACTAAAAAATCCGTAAAAACAACTAACAAATTGGAAGTTCTAAATAGGATCCCTTGCATATAATGACACTTGATTCCTGTAAATTTTTGGGTGTAATTATTGATGATAAGTTAACGTGGAGAAATCATTGTCAGAAAGTCCTTACACTTATATCACGCAACCTTGGCATTCTTAGAAAACTGAGATATTTTGTCCCATCCCGTCTTCTATTTTCAATTTATAATACGTTATCCTGGCCTCATCTTCAATATGGTATACTTGCCTGGGGTAATACTCATAAAACCTACCTTGATAAGTTGCTCGTTATACAGAAGAAATCCTTAAGATTGATTAATGGTTCTAACTTTAAAGATCACTCTGCCCCGCTATTTGTTAAGTTCAACACCTTATCTGTATATGATCTATATAAATATAAATTGTGTGTTCTAATGTATAGTTTTGAAAAAATATACTGCCTTTGAAAATAAAATCGTTTTTTGTAAAGAACACAGATATTCATCATTACGACACAAGGTCGTCAAATAAGCTTCATCTTAATAAAGTTCGAACATCCCTACACCTCTCAACCGTACGACACCAGGGACCCCTCCTTTGGAACAAAATCCGATCTTCCTGCCCAAAGACGTTAATTAGAGCACGTAAATTGTATTATAGAAACTACTTCTCACTACGGTTAATATCAATGGTGATTAAGAGCAAAGTTATTATTTTAATTGCCGAATAAAATTATCAAAAACACATTGAAAGTCAAGGATGGTAAATTTACCTCATGTAACTTATTATTTTTTGGTAACTTTATTAGGTCATGAATTTAATCTAACAACATCTATTGTTTATTATTATTATCTCATTTTGTTAATCAATCATGAATTGTTTAACTACATGTATTCTTTGTGAAGGGGGCAGACCTAGTACAAGCTTCGGCTTCTTGTCTGACCTCCCAATATTATTATTTCAAGTTCCGTTAAACTGTTTAACTATTGTACAGTACTCAACTTACATTATAGTATGGAAATAAAACCTGAAACCTGAAACCTGACATGATGCTAGATGTCAGAAGTCGTCTCCCAACCACATACAAAAAAGAGCCCTTCAAAGAGAATTTCAAATTTTATGTGCAAAAATGACATTTTAAGGGCACTACATGTATGTCCAATAACCCAGTGGACAATGTATAATGTTTTTTTTCTTTGCCCCAAAATGAGAAACGATGTCAAATTCCCTCTTAAAGTTGTAGTTTGTATCATATGTACATCAACATTGGTAGATATTAAAGTGTGGTAATAAGTGATCCATTCAACATTTTTCAGAGCTCCCAACATTCAGATTTCAGAAATAGTACTTTTCATCGAGCCGGTATTTATTGTTTGGCGCGTCACCATTTAACAAAAAGGTAGTCCGAATCCCATCACAACAGTACTATACTACTAAGTAATTCCCACAGAGTGTAACCCATTTCTTTCTATTCTTGTTAGGTAACAAAGGATCTTGTTTTTGTTTTTCCACACTGATACTGTTTGGCAATTTTGCTATCGGGAAACATCTGGAAAAAATGTTGCAACCTGGCGCCACTTTTTTTTTCATAATATCATCTCAATGAAGGTCATTCATTGCAAAAATGATGAAAAGACATGAATCTGGGACTGAGAAACATTTCAAATTTTGCTAGGAAATACTTAAAAAATGTTCTTGACTCTCCATAGACTTTATACACAATCGCGGAAGGGGCGTCAGGTTGCAATATTTTTTCCAATGTTACCTCGACATTGATTGTATCGATGTGTCCAAGCTGAAGTTGGTATGGTGAGTTTCGGTGTGTTTTTAACATTTTCTGCTGCCCGAGCATGTCTATCCATAGCGATGTGCTTCTGGCAATCATTTCGGCCGGCGTGACTCACACAAAAATCTGCGTTGCAAAACGTACAAATAACGAAATAATCTGAACATTTGCTTCAAAAATCTCTGCCATGACTTCGGCTGTATTTTAGATTGTTTGGTAAACATATTTCCATCATACACTACCACTGACTAACACAGGAAAACAACTCGATGAAACGAAGCATTCCACGGTAGGTAACGTTAAACCAAGTTGGCCGGCGTATGCATCCCACCCGTGGGACAACTCGACCAGTGCCTTGCCACCGTACCCCTGCGAGCCAAGCCGCAATGTGTATCTGCACGGCGCCCATCGTGCATGCCGTACCGTCCGTGCAAGTCGAGTTGTCTCACGAAAAGCATGCCGCGCAGAGTTTTACTGCGCACTTCGGACGTTATAAGCGAACTCCTTACGCGAATATAAGGCGGGAATGGCGCTTTTTTCAATGAATATATGTAACTGTAAAAGCGTAAAATACGTACATGTGGAGTTTCCGTACATACATTAGTTCCAAAATAACAACATTATAAAATCTAGAATAGTTCATGAATATCAGTGGGAAAAATTATATCAGGGTAAAAGCTTAGAGTGTACCCTGCCTACCAATTATGCCAATCAAATTCTCTGATGCGATTTTGAAATTGGGTCTCTATCAAAAACTGAGTCCCTCAACATTTTGTGATTTGATAACAGATCACTGACATATTAATTAACACTTAGCGCCCCCCCCCCCCCCCATTTGTACCATAAAAGAACAGGTTCATCATTTCGCATCTTTTGTACCTGAAAAGAAAAGGTCAATGATAAATTACACCTTAAGCCTTTCTAAGGTAATTAGGTCAGCCGCTTACCTTATGATATTACCTTTCGGTAACAGTCTGAAATCCATCAACATACGCAACGGCAAAAGAATCATTAGAGAAGACAATGATCATTGTCCAAGAACAGCGACTGCAACAACAGACCGTTTACTACCTCTGCTAACCTGCCACTTTCATTCCAACAAACGCATTTCACGTTTTGGGGACTCACAGTATATGCATGTGCATCTTCTGTCTGGCCTTTTTCCAAGAGGCAGGTTTACACAGTCATCTGTTTAGACATGCACTTACAAGTGATAAGACTAAAGAATTACATGGGAGCTAATGTGTTAGAACGACCACTTCAGCATTGTGTTAAACCGAATGTTGCTGCTGCGTCAAATAATTAATTGATGTTCCCAAATATAGGTGATATATTTTACACAAACATTTGTGCTGGATTTGTAATTTTTTGAGGGGGGGGGTTAAACCAACTTTTGTTGTTAATCTGTAAACGTTTTTTTAAAAGGGGAATAGGTATGTGCTTGGCCACTTTTAAACACTATAAAACTGGTTCGGCTCAGGTCATTGTCAGCATCCATCAGACATCCAAACCGGTCTTAAACGTAGTGTTTAATACCGGCCAAGCACATATTTATGCATATTCATAAATACATTTTAGGTCAAACAGTCAAAACAAGTCAACAATTATTAATTTCCAACTATCTTGTTCAACAAATTTACTTCATTTTATACACCCCTCTAGTTATGTCATGGTATGTGCCTCTTGCGAGTAGTCATTGAGCTCCATGTTGAGTACTGCAAAACACCGGGTACCAACTTACCTCTTTCAGGTCATTCACCTGGGTGACATACAGTCGTTGTGCTGCTTCTAGATGATTGATGTGCCACTGCTGGTCTCGACATTTCTGATAAAATGTTGGCGCTCTTACCTACACAAAATTTAAGCAATACATCAGAACAAGCTAAAACTGAAAAACAAAACAAAAAAGCAGTATGATTGCAACGCTCGAGCTCATGGCTGACTTGACATGCAAGAAGTTAACAAAAGTTATTACATGTACGATGGACTAGGGAACCTGTTGGGTAAAAGTGTGTACGAAAACCCGACCTGGTTGCAAAATGTTGAGTCTACACAGAAGAACCAACATTTTAAAATGAAATTGATAACAAAGTAAGTATATGCACCTGAAACTGTAAGATTAAGGTGTTATCCTTGAGGTATCCCTCAGTTGCCAGCAAGTCAAGTCTGAAGAAGCGATTGTACCCCCAGCATTCTCCAACCTCAAAATCAGAAGCAAATTCTCTCACAATATTCTTGCTATTGTCATGAGTTGCCTGATGAATCATTTCCACTCTGTACTCATATCTGAACAAAATACATGGTTGTAAAAGATATCAATGCAATACTCTACAGTGTTATTTATGTACACACAAAGTTTCAACCCAATAAGGGGAAGGGGAGGAGGAGGGGGAGTTGGAATGGAGGAGGGTGAGATCTCGGTAACAGGCTGGAGACCAGATGGGACTAAGGGTGGAATAGGCCAGGAGTAAATCATATAAGAATCAAGTTTGAAATGCTTGCTAATAGGCCAGTAAACAATAGTCACACCAGGCATTGCAACAGGTTTGTCAGAAGAAGAAAGAGCAATGGCAAACATCAGCATTTTTGCTCCAGTAAAGGTGATGTCTCATTGGCAATGGTGCCTGAATGACTTGTCAAAACACTTGGTTTCTTCCTAGAGCACCTGGTGCTTGTTGAGTCAGCGGGAGGACTGGGAACATCCATAAACTCCAAATAGTATTTGTCTGTGATTGAGGTTAAGTTATCTCAACTGCACTTCAGACAGTCAAATTTAAGACTTTGTAAGACCCAAAAGTTAAAACGGAGTTTGATTAAACTCCGACACAAAAAACATGTCACCCAAACTTCATGGGCAAATGAAAGAAACTAAGAAGATTTCTGCGACTTCTGTCACAAAAGCTGACTTCTTTTCCTGTGTAAGTATCTTCCTTTTAATGTATTTATTCCAGGTCAGTATCCTACACTTAGTAGTTATCCAATGAAGTGGATTTTCCGGGTTTTTTTTGTTGCTGCGTACAAGCAGCATTGGTTGGTCTGCATGGCCTACTATTCACTCTGGCACGTGCAACAGGGAGCATGTTGGCCGATGTCCCTTCGCGAGTAATACTTTATTTTCACTCACATGTGTGTAGTGCTCATGGAACACACGGGCACAGCCTAGACAAGTGAGGCTATGGAACGTTATACTTCGATTTTTGCTTTATTTTTGTGTGTGCAGATATTGGACCAAATTCGCAGTGACTTCCTACCAAATCTGTACCGAATTCACTGCAAAGTTACGTATGAAAAAATGCAGTTAAAACTGTAGTGTGAGGTAAGTTCGCCTTGGTGAGGCGTGGGCGAGTGCTGATATGGGTTCATCAAAATGACAGACCCAGGTCAGGGCAAGAGCTGGTCAATGAAGGTTGACAGAGCCAAAGTTTTTGAGAGCCTTGAGTAAGACCGACCCTTGGCCACAGGGAACAGAACAGTAGTCTCACTTGCAGTATTTTTGTTTGTGTGTGAAAAAGGCGTATCTTTCAAAACCATACCTATATTATCTATGTTGGTTACTCATTCCACATCTGGCATTCTGTTATATTTTGTTCACACTTTTTTTGAATACGTACTCTATATAAAAATTTAAACATCCAAACCTCTTTCGTTTCAATCAAAAGGACAGCAAGACCTTCTATTTGATTGGCATACCAGTGAGATGTAATGCGGTAAAACAACCCCAAGTGACAACTAAGTGACCTTTGACCCAATCTGACCACACCCCATATAAAGCTTGGGTCAGTTGTCAATATGGCCAAGTTTGGTTGAAATTGGACTTAGTGTTTGGGAGAAGAAGCATTTTAAAGGATCATTGGAAAGAAGAAGAATACAAAGAGGAACCCGCTCAAATACAGTACCCTAGTTGTTATGACTAGAGTAGGCTGTGTGTGCTTCACTTTAGCACAATCAGCCGGTGGTCAGTATGTCACCAGATAGTTAGTATTGATGACATTCGTTATTGCTCCCATTCACGGCAAGGCTCAAAAAGGCCCATGGGGAATGGGAAATACTATTTAACAATTAGGATCATTCTTGTTCCATGACGCAGTATTTGTGTGCAAATGCATGCTGGTGTGCGCATTCAGCATTGTGTAGAGCGTGTATTGTTCCCAAGAGCCAGCGCTACAGCGTTGGGTTCAAACATTTTCAAGGGGTGGTTTGGAAGAGAGAAATACATTTTCCACCAATTTTGTATTGAAATAAAAGTTCAAATATATCAAATGACAAGAATCTATATGTCAGTTATACAAGACAAATATTGAGTGGCTTGAAATTGTGAAATGGGAGGAATACTAGTGCTCAGTGGACTTTTCCAGTTCACTTGGCTTTGCCTCGTGAAATGGAAAAGTCCAGATTTTTGCAATAATGTTCCTCCCATTTCACTCTCAGTCACTCAATATTTGCATACCAGTACACTCAGCTCATCCTTGGCATTGTTCTTAGGATTTGTTGTTGAATTTGAATTAATTTACTATTCTTTAAGTTGTGCTAAATATTTGCCCGAAGAGTAGCTTTCTTCGTGTCCATGCCTATTATCTATTCACTTGGTCATGTATTTTGACAGCAAACCCTAGTCTCAGATCAAGAAGTACTAAACGGGTCAGACGGGCCTCTAGAGGATTAGCCCCTACAAATTTTCCGCCTAGTGGCAGCACTCTATTGGACTATTATCCGGAACGCATAGGCTTGTTTAAATTTAGCCAATGCAAGTCTATTTCTCCGACACACAATTGTAGGTACTTTAGTGTTTTATTTTTTTTTGGGGGGGGGGGTAGAACCAACTACCTGGAATCATAACAATGGACTACCTGAAGTCATAACAAATGCCATAGAAGACACATACAAAGACACTCAAGCCAAAGTTAGATGGAAATACGAATGAATCCGAAATTTCAGCAGGAGTGCTCCAAGGAGGTACACTGGTGCCCTACCCTAGCTGCACATGAATTCAGCAAAAACTAAGTGTATGGTATTCAACCAAGATCATGTTGAACTGAAAACAGAATGGCAGCCAGTTGGAGATTGTAGATGGCTTCAAGCATCTAGGATCATGGGTCAGGATTAGTGGGCAAGATGTTAAAATCAGAAAGGCTATGGCATGGACAGCTTGTAATAGGCTAAATAAGATACGGCAATCCAGACTGTCAAGAAAGATAAAAGTCAAACTCTTCCAAGCAACTGTTGAAAGTGTTCTCCTTTATGGAGCAGAAACCTGGGCAATAACAACGAAACTAAGAAGGTCAATAGATGGCTGCTACACCAGACTGCTTAGGTCAGCACTCAACATCAGCTGGAAGAGTCACACAACCAATCCAGAGCTCTACGGGCAACTACCGAAAGTAACAACTACTGTCGAGAGGAGACTGCTCCAGTTTGCTCGGCATTGCAGAAGATCCAGTAACCAAGCAGTGGCCAGCTTGATTCTCTGGCAGGAAACCCAAGGGAAGCGAACCGGGACGACCAATGACTACATGTGTTGATACACTGTGCCAAGACACCCAGCTACTACCCAGGGAAACTCATAGTTGCATGAAAGAAAGACAATCTGGGAGAGCTATCACTGATGTCTGACGGAAGTTGCAAGAGTAAGAGTAGAGTAGAGAGTAGAACCAAGCAATGCTTGTGTTAGCCCACATGATGGAGGTTTTCTATGCTTTATCAATCCCGAATACATATTTTACTTCATCAATTTATTAAGCAACTTACTTGGAAGTTTCAGGCAGACCAGCCGATAACTCTAGAAACACAGACAGGTAATTGCCTCTGACCACACCATTTCCATCCTGCAAAGAGGCCAAGAAGCATAAAAAGAAATTACCGACATTGTTTTCAACTTTCAGTTCTTAATATAGACTTTTGGCATTTGCTTTGTAACAATAAAGGGTGATTGGGCATGAAACTATTTTACTGGTCACTGTCAAATTCAGTTGTGAACATGTTTACGTTAAATAAGAAAAACAATTTATTTACTAATTACATTTCTTTACCTTGGGGTACACCCAAAAAGCTGAAAACTGGTTTCCATTGGGGCTCTGCATACATTACAAATGACAACATACACACATACCGCACAGTGGTTTAAAACCATATGTGACCCAGACATCAGTATATTCCAGGACAATAAACGATCAAATGTCCTATAAAATACATCAAGCATGTTTAAATACCATCTCTGGGTCAGAAAAATAGGCTGGCAATTATCTAAAAACGTAAGTCACCGAAATTGTCAAAAATATAGGCTAAATTTCAAAGAGGGCGCTACTTAACAATTGCGCCCTCTTGTGACGATTTTTGCATTTATGTTTATTACACATCCGTCGCTTCTCACCGTACCGGCACGGAAGCCAAACATTCTTTTGTTGTTAATTTTGGATTTACTATGTTAAATAAAGATTAAATTAGCTTGCAAATGCAAGATTTCAAGGTTATTATTTTGTTATTATTTTTTTAATAATATTTTCCCTGTGATAAGGCCATTTATTTGCAAAATGTTATGATTATCTTACTTATATTATCTGTTGTATTTACCGGCCGAAAATGGTGCTCTTAAGTGGTGCAGCTGGTATTTGTGCCTTTTAGCTAAGAGAAAACCTGTAATTCTTGAGACTTATTTGTGAAAACAGATAAAATCCCCCCCCCCACAGAAGTGTGGTTGGAGTCTACTTCACTCTACTTACCTGTAGAGCAATACTACTTATGCATATTCCCCCTACCGGCAGGTATTTTCCGCTAAGAGTTATATACAATAGCGCCCTCTGGCGCCCTACCCATAATACCCCGCGGCATGCGTGCCTCGTGAGCGTCCTCTTTTCTCGAGCGCTAAGTCGGAATACAACAAAGTACCCAAGGCATCGAGAAGAGTGGGGTAGGGGGGAGGGATGCTCTACAGGTAAGTATTCGTTCGTAGACCCCAACCACACTTCTGTGGGGGGGGGGGGGGAGTCTACTTCACTCTACTTACCTGTAGAGCAATACTACTTATGCATAGACTAGCACCGTCAAGAAGGTGGGTCATGCGAGATGCTATTGCTTACTCACAGGGGCACGTAACAATACGCGTAAACCCTGGATGGGCCCGTCGCTCCACATGTGGGTGGACAAGGCAGCCCAAAAAGGTCGGCATGATAAAGACATTAGTCATAATGGTAGCCTCAACATGCCAACAGAGATGTGATCCCTGATTTTGGGAATCACACGTAATGAATTACAGCCCACCGATACCTACACCTAAGAGTTCGGTGGGGCACACAAAAATAAAAATTAACATGAAAGGCAAAACATCATGACATGGTACATATAGACACTATAATATGCACATGTACATGTACAGAGCTCAATAAAGAATCAGAGTTAGGAGACACCAATGCTGGGCTCAGTCAGTCGCCCTCAACACTGTTCTCCCATGCTCTGCCATTTATTTTGCGCATGCGGACCAATCACATGGATTCTGCCGTTGATACGTCCGCAGTTTCATGGATGACCATAGCCAACCTTCAGGCAATCTTGTCATGAAAGCCTGCAGGTATGGTTGGGTTACCATGATAAATACATGTCATAAAAGGCCTGCCTGTATGACAGGGTCGTCATGACAAAAACATGTCACGAGAAGCCTGCTTGTATGGCAGGGTCGTCATGACAAATACGTGTCGCGAGAAGCCTGTCTGTATGGCAGGGTTGTCGTGACAAATACATTTGTAACTGCAAGTGACCGATTCAAAGCGTCCCAGTGCAGCTAATGTACGACGTTAAAGTCATGATTGGCACCAAAAATTCTCCGCCTGGACAAGAATGATTTGATGCCCGGAACAAAGACGTCCGGAGGCACACAGGGCTCCGACAGTCCCTAGTATAAATCCCTCCTTAGGGAGCAGACATCAAGTCATGATCAGCACCAAAATTCGCTGTCTGAAAAGGACAAGAATCATTTGATGCCCAGAAAAAAGACATCCGGAGGCAAAGAGGACTCCGACCGTCTTAGCTCAAAAAACCTTCCTTAGGGATCAGATGCCAAGGTCATGAGCGGCACCACCATTTTCCGTCTGGAATGGACAATGATTTGATGCCTAGAACAAAGATGTCCGGAGGTAAAGAGGACTCCGACAGTCTTAGTTAAAAAACAAAAATCCTCCCGTAGGAATCGGATGGGCACACTCGGTTCCCATCAGATGTGGTCCGTCTCTATTATACAGAAAACAGTTCTTTACTACATGTATACCAAGAAGTAACAACTGCTTACAAAACAGAAAAGAAAAAAGGCAACCGTAGGAACCAATGAAACAGATGTGAAATTGTTCACTGGTTCACAGAACTCTAAAGATCTCTATAACACTTTTGGATAAGAAGGTGTTGAAGAGGTCCTGCAATTCAGGGGTGTTAAAACATCCCCTTAAGTTAACTGACATGGACGTTCAACTGACTAACATTAAGTAATCTACTGTCATGTTAGAAGTCCCTCAAGTGCAGGCTGTAAAAGCCATAGCCTGTTTGAAAAAGGTCTGATGTGAACAGGAGAGCATTACAGCATCCAGTACATCAGGAGAAATTCCTGCGGAGCTGGGTGAAGGAAACCCAAGCTGTGCTGGAACAGAATATTGTTCTGCTCGGGAGAACATTTGTACCTCCAACTGGTGAACCAAGGGAATGGTTATAGCCCTGGAAAACCAATCAATGGGGTCAACATGGAGTTAAGAAGAGGACCTTGTCGTCCTTCTGCTCCAGTCGATTAAGTACCCGAGGGATAAGAGGAAGACGACAGGAAGGTGTATATAAGCAGCCTGTTCGTCTTCATCACCATCGTATTCATGTGCCATGTGTAGGGGTCAGGAACCCTCAGGCATTAGCCTGGAAATCTGTGACTAGTTCATGAAACAAGTCAGATTGACATGTGGTTAGTTGTCCTTGCTTGGGAGGAGGACCGTCGAAAGCAAGAAGCTATGAGGAAAAACCCCAATGGGGTATTTCTCAAGTGAGTTTACACAGGTGTGCAGGCTGCCTGCCCACCTGGTCGTCGATGTAAACTACAACTGTGTCAAAGTCACATCGAACCAGGATCATCTGGCACAACACCGAATATAGAAGTAACATCGCAGTTTCTCCGAGACTGCCAGCATCTCAAGTATGTTAATGGAACTTAAATGATGCTCACACAGGGCCTCACCAATCCGCCACTAGATGCGTGTGGTGGGCAGTTAACTGGCAGGGTAACATGTCCGCCATGACAGTTAATGAATTAGGCTGCAATCTGTGAGAGGCCCACCCTTGTGAGGTTGGCAACGCCGCACCACAGGAGGTACTGCACAAGTCAGGTCATGGCCTGCACTGAATGCAGTGAGGACTGGGCCGATACAAGCAAATAGGTGATTGCCACCAATCTTTGTTTCCATGGCGCAGTCATACCGCCTTTACTATCTGTGCAGGAGGCCAGGAGTGAGGCGGAAAAAAGGTTGGATGGAGCCACCATGAAGTTGCAGCGAGAATTTTTGTTTGAAAACCGCGAAATTCTCAGTGCTCTGGCCTGAAAATGAGTTGCAGTTGTGTACCCTTCAGGCCAGGGCTCATTCCCCATGCTGATGTGTTAGACAGTCGACTAAATCTCATCAACATCTTCCCAAGGGAAATACAAGACGGGCGCAACACTGTGCTGGCCCGATGGTATTGATGTCAGCCTCAAAGTCTCTCTGACGAGCTCCTACGAGACAGATGGGTGGAGGTCGTCAGGAGTAAGGTAGGTCACTTATGGAAATCATCAAAACAACTGAAGCCGAATCAAAATCGTTGTTACATTATCCTATGTGGTGGCATGGCGTACAGAAAATGTTGCTAGCACGGCCACACAAAATCATCTGGGCAAACTTCAAGAGGTATGCAGTTGAGAAAACAAACAACTGTTTGTTCTTCACCTGCGCTGGCCCACATGTAGTCGACATCGACCAATATGGATGTAAACATCGATATCCACCGCAAAAGAAAAGATCTCTGTCCGTTAAAAACTTAAAAGGTGGGACTCGAATCTTTGGCGGGCGCCCTTTGACGGGAGAAACAGTTCATCAATCATGTTACCCCGGCGGGCCAAGATTGCTAGGGTCTGCACTCATGTAAAATTATAGAGTAATGAGTGTAGACCATGAAATTGATAGTGAAAATAGCGGTCAACACGTCCGCTAAGACTGTCGAGTCAAGATTAAAACATTAAACCTAATGTTCTTCATGAGGGTAAAGAGGGAGGCTGAATGCGTATCGCCGAGCCCACTTTAATTCTACTGCAAAGTGTATTCAAGCTTCTGCGAGTATTATTTACGAACAGCCGCTTGAATAATGGGGTCCCTCTACTGCTGGCAGCTTGTGCTTAGCTGCATTGAAGAGGGAAGATGTGACAACAAAATACCGAATTTCGCTAACGGAAAACGGTAATGATCACCTTATTGCTTGATGAGCAGCAGGCAGTTTGAATACAGGCACAATCTTTCAAATGTGGTCCACAACATGCCTGCAAGAGTCGAATAGACCCCGTAAACGAGAACCGTAAAACATATCTGGAAGGACGAGTTGCACACGGCCACAGTCAGTTGTTGAACAACTCCCTCGGAGACAATGGACAGTGTACATGTACATACACAAGTAATGCACACATGTACATGAAAAATGTAGCGATCTCAGTACAGCAAGAAACACCGCCGCACGGCTAAGCACAGCGCGGCGTGTCCCATTGTGTATAAAACGTATATGACCGATAATAAAGCCGAGAACAATTGCAAGGCTTATAATGAGTGGGCCGAAAAACCGC